TGAACAGGGCACTTCTGCTCCTTCTGAAATGACCAAATACATGGAAGCAGCAGTTATTTCCTCTCCAGAGCTGGTTAATGATTTAGTCAGTGATAGACAAGCCCACTAAATTGAAAATGGCAGCATGCACGGCATTTCTGTGTATTTTCTCAAAGGTTGGGAAATGCTCCCTAGATCAGATTCAAGGACCTTCCTGATATCTCCTTTCACTAATGTTTATAGGTAAGAAGTTTTGCAATTTTTGTTACACAAAGAGACGTTTGCTTTATAGTAGATTCCTCTAGGCTGTTTGTTTTGACACAAAACAGTTTTACTTCTCTAATGAAGTAATGGCTGATGGTTGAGTAATGGATATATGGAGATTAAGTATTTTTTTGTTTATAACTTAAAACAAAAAACTTACAAAAGAAAACATGTTTATAATAATGGAACCCCCCGTCTAGTGCCCTTCAAAGAAATCAAATTGCAGGAACTAAACAATCACGGGACAGGATAAAATTTAATTCAGTCCTGCATAAAGCGCATTAAATAGCCTCCATACTGTTACCAGCCAGCAGGGGGCGCCAAACCTCCACATACAGCACTTCATAAAACTTGCAAAAGGCAAAAAAAAAAATAAAAATTATACATACTTTTTTCTTTTAAGCAAAACCCCTTCATAATGCTATCCAAAAAATATTACTTGGAGTATCATAACTATCAGTTTATTTAGAGGAGAGAAGGTAGACCTTTCAAAATGGAATACTAAAATAGCATCATGCTGAGGCAGCACTGCTACGCTGCATAAAGCAGAAAAAAAAAATAACATCCAAATTCAGTATATGGGTAAAATAAATGGACACAACTAATGCAAAATATAACAGGTTTATCTTAAGCAACTTTTAAGCAAGTCTGAACAATGCATTCAGTCCTTTTACCTGAGAGGAATTGTTAGAGGCTATAACTCAACTAATTATAGTTGTGGCAAAATTAAACAAGGCCTTTAAAATTTGTTAAATAATATCTTCTAAGGCAAGTGACCAAAAACAAAATATTGGCATAATTTAAAGAACAGCCGTTACCTCATATAGATCACAGAAAATCTACAATAATTTCAAACTTTTCCTTCAAATTTTAAGAAAAAAAAACTAATCTGCTCCAACAAAAAAATGGATGGTATAAATTAACAATTAGACCCAAACTTTTTAAATGATTTAATTAAATCATGATTTTATGCCATCATTCTGACATTTCTAGTAAATCCTTTAAAAAATCTAAATAAATGTTACACAAAACTGGTTCATCAGTAACCTCAAACATAGATTAATTTTATGTACTTAATTTTTAAATAAAGGTTAAAACCATTTAAAATTTAAAACCAGTACATTTGTCCAAGAAACCAGTTTGTTACAGCTTCTATGGTGCCAGTTTGCAGCACCCAATGACTGCAGGGTTACCTGCAGTATTTCTGCAGATAACAGGACTCCAAGTACAGGTTAAAAGCAATGGTGAGAGCAACGACCTGTGGTGCTCCTGACTACTAGATTAAAAAGCCGTCTGCCTCGTCTACATGACAGTGTGTTTACTGAAGCAGGTGTATGATGGCTCATTAATGCCACAGCGATTAACAAACTGCAGGAGGTCTTGTTTGCTTGCTGAGGTGAACTAACAGAAGTCTCTCCAGGACCTTTCATGATGTGGGATGTCAGAGCAACAGGTCTATAGTCTTGTTTGGCTCTGGACCAAGGCAGGAGGTCTTCCACATCACTGGAACTGTCTCCTGGGTCAGACTAAGGTTGAAGAGGTGCTGTAGAGTCCCACAGAGCTGCTCTACACAGGCCCTCAGGACTCAGGAGCTGACACCATCAGTCTCTCCAGAAGCACATGTTGCATATAAACTAATATATTATTAGGTCTTTAGTACAGGGGCCAGGAAAAGTTCTACAGGACAACTAGCAAAAACAAACTGGGAAAATCAGGTTAACAGGCTTTTAATGCTACCTCAGCCCTTTGCAGTGTTTCTACCAGATTTGCACATTTGGAATTCATCACATATCTGGACTGTTCTGTAAATCCGGATTCTACAATGAAGCATCAGAGTAAAGCAGAAAATCAGACAGTTCAAAAACCATCTTGCATTTTCCTTCCACTTAATATATCGACTTTTCCAATGTCTCATTTCTTCTAACATTTTTAAATGAACTTCAAGATTTTACTGACTTGTCAGAGTGAAAACAAACAAAATGACCTTAAAATTAAGTCCCGTTTCCCACTTAACGCTTTGAAAATAAACCAGCCTGGAAAATATCAGGACATCTTTCCTTTATCTTTTCTTTCTGTGGTCTTCCTGTCCTCTAATTCTCAGACAGCGCTGATAATTATTTGTTTTGATCTGTGGTGGAGAAGTTTCCATGGTTACATGAACACAAAAGAGCTTCTTAGGGGGTCTCAAAGTGTTTATTGCAGCCGTAGCTTCTCGTAATACACCATGACCGCTTTGATTGCGCTCAGAGAGAGGATAGAGATTCCCAAGAAGCTTATTAATGCAGCAATGATAACAACCGCGCTCATTTGTTCTCCCCCTGAAAGAGAAAGATGTTATTTTACTCATGCAGAGATGTTTGTAGACATCAACAAAATTGATGCATTTATTGAACTAAAACCAGGTGCTTCTGCTGCAGCTTTTCTTTAATCTGAACAAACTCACGGCCAGACGGATGGATGGATTTAATCCTCATGTTGACTCTTAGTGGCCCAGCAGACACAACAGCAGCTTGATTCTCCAGTCGGTCCGTTCCAACCGCTGACCTTTTTAGACGCTGCTGGCCGGCACAGCTCTGCATTAAAATACAGCTTTAATTATGCAAAATATTCAAGAAACTTCCAAATAATTTGTTTTATTTCACTGAAATTAAGAAAAAGCTCAGGTTCTTTGACTCAAGAAACAAAAAACTATTCAGCAATGTCAAAAGAAACTAAAATAAAAAGTTCAGATAAATCAGATACTGAAAGATTGTTTGAATGAATAAGGAGAAGTTTTGCTTCAGGAAAAAGCTGTCACTTAATAGTTTTGGACCAAATAACATGTATGAAGGAAAAATTGTTCCAAAGCTGCTTAGTTGTTCCTTCATACTGCTGCTTCGGTTTAAAATCATCTTAGTTAAATAACATGCTGTCATTTTGCACATCTCCGATTTTAAAAAGTATCCATTACTGTAAAAATGTCCATAGCTGTATATTGGTTATTTATTCTCCAGGTGCACAGTATTTATATTGTTTACAGCATCAGTATTTGTGTATTTAACTCTTCACTATTTTGTTATTCTTATAAATTTTTGTAAGGTCCGCATTTGTGTGACCCTTTTTTTTCTATAATCTTTTTGCTGCTGTAAACACCATAATTTCCCCATTGTGGGACAGTAAAGAGATTTTTTTTTTAATACTATGTTAATACTATTCTTATCCAGAAATTAAACTTTGAATCTTTCAACCTAAAATGAAAAAAAAGGGGAGTAAAATAGTTGCTTTCTCAGATTACATTCTTTGTATTCTATTCATTTTTTAAAATCTTTTTCGAAAGGTTTACGTTTTTCACTTGTCTTATTTTGAAATTTCTCATTTTGAGATTGATTTTTAGGCAATTTTTAGAAACTTCTGAAAGTGAATAAAATGAATGTGATCTGGAAAAAAAAAAGTGTACAATACGTAAAAATTTGAAAATAAAAGATTTGTAACTTTTTTAAATAGTAAAATGTAAAACAATAAAATAAAACTAGGACAAAGTTGATTAAATCTAAAATACATTTGAAAAAAAAAAGAAAATTTACTAAACTTTTGTTTTTAATTAATTAAGAAGTCTTTCAAAGTTTCATTCTTTCTGAAATTTTGATTTAAAAAAAAATGTTCTTTGCTTGTGAAACTAATGGAACAAATTCTCTCTATTGCTTTAATGTCAACAGTGAGTTTCTGTTAATCCTGAGCTTCATCCTTTACTGTTTAAACACACCGAGATAAAATAAATGCGATATTGGCTTCAAATACTCATAGTAGCTAGCATGACCCAACTAGCCGCAGTTAGCCGATTGTTTTCCAACTGGCAATCCTCTCCTCCCGTGTACTGATATTCACAGATCTGACGTCCAACTTTCAGGAATTCAAAAAGGAATTAGAAAAAATATTTGTGCTAAAATCCAGTCAATATGTTTAAACATTTATCTTACCATCATGGTTTCAAAAACATAATTAGATAATGTTAGAGATTAGATTTATGTTTTTACTTATTCCAGTTCATGCATGTTAGGAAATATGGCCCTGCCTTTATCTGTGGTTTATATAAACCTAATATGCACATTTTCATTTTTACTAAAATGCAAAGCATGTTTGTCTTTAACTGGCCTGGTGGCTAAGAAATTAAGTAGTATCGTGTATCAGTTATGTTCCTATACCAGATTATATTGATTCAATTCCATAGAGGTTATAACACAAGATAAAATCAAGGATGTAGACAGATCAAAACATATTTAGTAGGAGATGTTTCATTAGAAGAATAGACATTTTAAGAATCAGGTCTATAATCTAAGCTGGCAGGATTTGATGCTGTTGGAAGGTTTTACCTTGGTGCAGCCTTCAGTTTGCCCACAAATGTTGGTCAGACAGTGGAAGTAGAGCGGTAGGCCTTTGGGCATGTGGAACATCTGGATGGAAAACCTGCTGCTCTGTTGCAGGCCGTTAACAGAGAGCCACTGGAACGTGTCGTCCGTGGGACAACTGAAGAAAAACATACATCATACTTAAAAGCTGTGCCAACTAAAGGCATTTATATATTCAAAGGATTAGGAGATATTAAAAACCGGTGACTTTTGAGTCTAATGCAACCAACTAGTTGGTCTGTATAGAATATAAACAGACTTAAAGCAGCCGTTCTGTGATTAACAGTAAGATAAAGCAAAAGCAGCAGACAGGTTAGGGAGGGAATTAAGGGGAAATTTCAGTTATTGTTAAATTGCAACGCTTTGAGCATCTCACAGAGCAGTTTTTAACAGTTGATAATAGAAAGAGTATCTGTAAGCCTTTGAGACTGTCCACCTTTAACAACAGGCAAGGAGAGCATAAAGAGGCATCCAGAAAATGCAAGAAATCCATTCTAAGTCAAGTTCGACTCTGGCAGCAAATGAGTCATTGCAAACATGCAAAGCTCTGTGGCTTAAAGAAAACCAAACTTGTTTCTGCAGTAGAAAGAATCAAGTTGTGGGGAGGCTTTTACTTAACAGGGGCAGAGAGCTGGTTGATGGGGCTATAGAGCTATACAGGGCAATCCTGTGAGAAAACGCTTCTTCAGCCTCCTGTGACCATCTTAAAGTTACTTTTAATGCAGGTTGACTCTTATAAAAAGGGACTAATACTCAAAGCATAGAAAAACACTGTTCAGATTTCCTAGGAGGTTAGACTTTAAATCCATTTGCATAAAACAAGTGGAAGGCATTATGTTCTGTGGTACAAAAGCTGTAAACTGTTGAAATGTTTGCATCGTAGCAGAGAGTGAGGTGTGATTAAAATCCCCAGTTACGGCCACTAATGCAGTTGGCTGTAGTGTAGCTTGAATACAGAAACTAATGTTTTAACTGCTCTCAGAAGCCGGTGTGGTTGATTCTTTGTGTTCAGAACAAAAATACTCAATTTTTTTTCCATCCAGACAGCATTTCATCCCTTTCTGTTTTAGCAAATCGCTTTATTCTGAATAAATCCTGATGCAACTAAACCTGTCATGATGGGGTTATTTAATCTCAGCCCATATAGTCACTGTAATCAGAGTATATATATTTTTTTAATGTGAACAAAATGAAGCAAATCAAGAATTTGTGTGCATGAAAATACAGCTGATAATATGAGACTATCAAAAACGTCAGCCCCCGTTTTTATTAAATTTCTTTCTCCACTTTCTGTTCTAACCAAAGCAGTAAGATGTGTGGGTAAATGTACGCCACAAACTCTACAAGTGGGAAGGTGGGGGTCTACAAATGAATTAATGACACTGATCATTATTGGCCCAAAAACTAGAGAGAGAAAATACCCATCTTCAAGAAAAGATGCCTGGACCGCATCCTGTGGGTCTGGGCTCTCTGTGGCCCAGCAGGACTCCATCTGCAGCAGGACCTCTGAGGCAAACGACCTGTTGGCCTGAAGGGCGACCTGGAAGAACAAGGTGTCCTCATGTCCCAGCTCAACAGGCTCCATGTAAGCCTGGGTGTAGGAGGAATCCTTGAACAAGTGCATGCTCAATCCCAGCTGCACTGAGGAGTTAAACTCCACAAAGGACAGAGAGGACAGCCTGAAACCAAATTAAAAGAAAATTCAAACAAGACCACATTTTAAAAAAGTTAGCACTTAAACCTTTGCCTCACCATTCCATATCAGCACCAACTTGAGCGTTTTGGAGATAATGTCGAGGGTAGATGCACTTCCAGACAACTTTGAGATCCCGCCGGCTGATCGTGTGCTCTTTAGTCAGACTGATGCTCAGGAAATTCTGGAGAACGATGTGAGTTTTGTTCACCTGTAACACACATGGTTCCTTTTAAACTATAGGATCCTAATTGATTTTGCAGCTTTACTAAAAACACCTTTCATCAGTGGACAATTTGCATGAAGTTTAAGAAACATTCCTAACCACTAGAGGTGCTAGACCTGTAACTTGTAGGTTCAGTCCCGAGGTTCACTGCTATCGCTGCAATGTGAAAAAATAAAGCCATCTCCCTTGGTGTGGAATTAATTTTGTTCCATTATCACAAGCAGAGAACAACTTTTGCAAATGGCAATTTAAAGACAATACAATACAGAAATAAAAAAAACTGAACTAAAAAAAAAAGTATTGAGTAAACTTGCTTTTACCAATCAGATTTTATACTTTAAAATATCTAATTTTATTATGTTTAATTTTAAATAATCTTTATTTTTATTAAATTTAAATCAATATTTTTCATATTTTGTGTTTTCATTACTCTCTTAGATGGAGATTTACAATCCTTTTTTTTTTTTTGATTTGGCTGTTTTTCAGGTTGAGTTTCTCAAACTACAAGCTGTATATAAACATATTAGCTTGACCGATAGTATTTTCTGAGTCCATATAGACTGATAGAAATAAGTGTTCCGATTTCTCCAAAGGTAACCCGCCTCCACAGATTTACATATTGGAAAAAGTGGCATTTGCAAAAATAAGTTCCTCTCAAAACCATTTTTTTCATTAGGTAGTTTTCCTGTCTTTGTTTTTCTTTTTTTTTTTAATTTGTATTATTTTGATTGACAAAAGGTGCCCTTTGCTTGCAACCGTAATGGAACAAAATCAACTCCATACCATGGTGTCTTGGAACCTGATGGCAGACTAGTTTAGACCAGCAGATGTCCCCTCTCACAGGGACATGTGATCCTGCCCCCTCACCGTGCTTGGGGACAAAGAATCAAGTCAGACTGTTTTCTGTGAATCTGAGGCTGACACCGGGGAGACACCATGATGGAAGTCAAGGACCAGAATCTGCAGACCAGTCAGAGGCTAAGTTGACATTGTGGCCGATTTCCGAACCAGATTTCTGCAAAAACAGATTATTCTGCAACATTTCTCTCAGAGTTTAGAGGAAACCTTGAAATGCCAGAGACTATAGCAGTGGAGCAGGAAAGGACAGCTTCCCTGCTGCAGGCCTGACTTGCTAAGCTGCTGAATCCTGGAAACAACTTTTCCAAAATGGAGATCAGCAGAGTTACAGGTGTGGCAAATTTAGGGAGAGTTTTCAGCTACAGCTTGAGTTTTTGAAGATTTTTGCTGCTGGTCTTCCCCTGATATAGGGAAGGTGTTAATTAAATCAAAACATAAAGAAACAAAGGGACAAAGCTTCAATGAAATGCAAGTGCTGCAATAACGCTGGTATTTTCTAATATATTTACAATGTCGAGTGTACATTGGGTGAAAATAGCTGCTCTGAAAGAAACTCCAGAAACAAAAGTTCAGCACAAGACGACTGTTCTGTCTTGAATAATTAGTCCCTTTTACAGTATCTCCTCTTTCCTCTTTTTCCTTTTCTGTTTTACTCACATTGCAGTTTCCATAAAATCTTTAATACTCCCTGCATGAATTATAATAAAGCTATTTAAATGCATTAATCAAGCGAAACACTATGGCGATAGCCGTACTGCTCCAATTGTGAAAGCAAAATCTGTTGGGCTAATTTTTGGCATTAAGACAATTAGTCTTATTGCCAGACAGGACACTGTTTGAAAATCACATTTTCCTCTCATCTGCGTCTCGTGAGAAAAGCCTTCCTGTCTGCACACTGTCAATAAGGATGTTCTACCAATCAGCACCGAGCAGCCAGCTTCACAACCTTCCCCTGCTCCATAAACCCCATAAGAGACAGCCTCAGTGGAAGTGAAGGATTTTTGCACGCTATCCAATCAGGGTCGTAGTCTCAGACCTCCATGGGGATTTTTCATAGACTGACCAGCTGGTTATTGCTGCTCTGGAGCAGAGGGGAGATCCTGTCCTAGAGTGGACTTAATAGATGATTAATAGGCAACATTCCAGTTGCTCTATATTAGTTAAAAGCTACTTTGATGATATTACAAACTCTTCAATATTATAAACTTTGTTCTCAAATATAAAACCTGGTCAATTGTTTATTGATTATGGTTTTCAACCATTTTTATCCCCTTATTCTATGTGTACATAGCAGCTTAGTTTAGTGTATATATATATATATATATATATATATATATATATATATATATAAATAAAAATCAGTGTTAGACCTAAACCTCAGAGTGTGTAATAAATGTGCAGCATGGCTAAGCTGAATTCAAGGGCCAAACCTTTAAAGGGTCTTGAATTCTCTCAAAAAGGGGCCCCACACCCTCTGAAATCTTATTTGAATGCTGTAGTGAATGTCTAATTTTCTCCAATTTTAGACAGGAAATGATATCCTCCATCCACTGAGCATAGGTGGGAGGGAAAGCATCATTCCACCTGAGCAGAATCGTTCTTTGAGGCAGAAGGGAGGCAAAGGATAAAATGAGTTTTTGCTATAGTTAAATTTTTCCCGCCTACCATGACCCCGAACAGAGCTGTCAATGGGTTTGGGTCTAACTTTATGTTTAACACCCAAGAGAGTGTATGAAAAACCTCTAGTTTAATCAAGTTTAACTGAAATGTTTGACTTTGAGCTGAATGATTTTAGTTAAACTCATTTTTTTGAATGAAAGTTATTCCTTATGTGTGCAGAGTTACCCATTTGCCCACGATTTGAGCTAAAGTCTTAATTTAATTTACTGTTCTCACACACAGCCAGTTGAACCTGAGTTCACAGAACATCATGACAGTCTGGATATTTAATAAATAACTTTCCCCCCTAGGGTGGACATTTAATTTTAACAGAAGCTTGCGTTTCCAGCTCTGAAATCCACCGCTCACCTGTTTCTCTATTCCACACTCGAGTGGGTTTCGTGAGGTTTTGAAGTAGTACAGGATGTCCGTTTCATTCACAGGACATCGGCCGTCGTTCAGTTTCACCTCAAACTTTCCCCCAAAAAGAGAAGCCAGGTAGGCCTTTGCTATTCCACCCGTCATCACCTTATCCAGACACTGGCTGAAAAGCCCTTTATCTGTTTAAAAATCAAGAGATGAGATTTATTTTTTTGCAGAGATCCATTTCATTTCAGAGCAGGTTCAATTAAAAACACTAATGATTGGTGATAGTATTGATATGCAAAAGTAAACAGCTTTGATCAATGATAAAGCAGCATCACTGTAATTCCCAGACGATCAGGGTTATAAACTGGAGGCTCTACCAACATGGAATATAAAGCAAGGAGGAGCGTGAAACTGATCAGCAGTGAAGCTCCAGTTAAAAGCTGCAGCAAAGAATCATTCTACTCACACTTCTAAAATATATTTTATATCAACATTATCATAAACCTTTAAAATTAGAAAAAGGCCAACATTTAAGGGTTACCTTGGTTTCTAGCTTTCCTAATTTGAACAAATCAAGTGCATCAGAGAAAAAGAGGATTTGTCAAATAAAAGAAACTGAGTTCTCATTTATAAAACACTTCATACAACTAATCTAATTTATGAATCAAATCAAACAGTTTTCCTTTATAGATCGCAACTAAAATTACTTCCGTGTTCCGATTATGGAAATTCAAACTAGAGACTGACATTTTTTCGGGAATTAGTAACGATCACGTGATTGGGACGGTACAGGATTAGACATTAACGGGAGCGGGAGCAAAACAATAATAACTAAAAAAAACTAGGATCGATGCCAAAAAATAAAATAGAAAAAAAAATCTAGTACTGGCGCCGTCATTTTGTAGTTTTTTTCCTTAAAGCCTACACTATAATGAGAGTCAAAAAAAACTACACAACCCAAAAACCAACAGTGCTTCCGCTCTGAGTTTTTCACCCGCACTCAAAAACAACAATGGAGGGACCAACACCACTAACTACTACAGTTAGAAACAGGAACTTAACTGACCCTTCATAGAAATTCAGATTCAATATATTGGCAGAAATCTTATTGAAGACAACAAGAATGGGAGTGGTGCAGGAGTTATTCTGAATGGGAGCAGGATGGGAGTAATTTCACCAGGAGTGGGACAGGACAGGATTTAGATTTCTACTATTTAGATTTTTTTTGTGGGAGTGGGACGGGACAGGAGTGAAAATCCAATCCTGTGTCTGTTTCTAATTTAAACCCACTGATGAGTTCTGTACCTTTGCAGACCGGATGTGAGGCTGCAGGTAGGTCCAGTAAAGAGCCGACGTCATAGTAACCGTCTGCACAAACGCAGGAGTACAAGCCCAGCTGGTTGATGCATACAGAATGAGGCGGGCAGACGGGTTTCTGGGAGGCACACAAGTCTGGAGCCCAAACACAAAGAGAGCATTATAAACGGCGTGACTCAGGACTTGTTCTCAAACATCCGACCGAAACGAGCCGCTCACCGTCCACGTAAATGACCCCGTTCCTCACACTGATCTCAGGCCTATTGAGTGAACGGATGTGGGCGAGCTGATCGTCGACCGGCAAGGCGACGTCTTCCTGGGAGTTGGAGGCGTCGAAGGACTTAAACAGCAGCACCGTCTTTCCTTGCTCGTCCGCTGGTTTCAAGGAATCCAGCTCAATGTGGGCCGGGTGATCGAAGTCCTTCAGCAGTTCCTCCAACTAAAGGAGGCCAGCACTCAATTACAGCAGAATTATTTCACCTGATTATTGCAGTTTGGAAGAGTTCCTGACCTTAGCTTTAAGAATCTGCACCATTTTCTCTCTGGATTCTAAAGAATCATCCTGTAGATTATCTGTCGGAGACCAGGGAACCACCATCCTCAGACCGATGCTGTCAAAATCGGACTGCAGCTCTGCAGAGGCCCCACAACATCCACATAAAGGCAGGATTTACTTCCAAGAGAACATTGACAGAGTTAGTGCTACCTCATACTGACCATTGGTCTGAAGGGGTACAACACCCCTCACGTCGACGCCAGAAGTCAGATTGGCTCCTTTGAAATACAAACGAGAAGGTTCTGACTCCCACAGACCGTGGCACTCCTCCCAAACGTCCAGGATGTAGGGTTTTCCCGCCTCCAGCCCTGGAAGAGGCAGCTCTGAGTCGGAAACCCTGCTGCTCTCCACGGCAGAGCCGCTCTCCAGGGAGAGCTGGTAAAGGTAAACCACATCCTGCTGACCGGAGATGCTGGGCGCCCACAGGGCCGTAGAATCACTGGAGCGGTACCTGAGCTCAGACACCCCCCCAGGTCCTGAACACACAGATAACCCCCATTTATAAGAAGCAGGAATTAGAGAAATGAAGACGTCAGGTGCGAGTTACCTGTGTGCGCCGCGACTGTTCCAACACTCATGAGGACGTTGTCGCCGCACACCGCCGCCACCTTGGCTTGGTACGTCTGGCATGGCAGCAGCCCTGCCACGGTGTGTGTGGTCAGAAGAGTGGTGTCCTGCAGCGCCCCCTGATGGTAAACCCTAAACATGGAGATGGAGGAGGTGTTCCTCACCTCCCAGCTCAGGGTGTAGTTTCTGGAGCCAATTGAAGTCTGACGCAACCAATAAATCCTGGAGAAGTCTGGCAAGAAAGCAGCAAACCGGTTAGATTTTAACAAAGACTTTAAAACATTTATCCTCCCAAACACACATAAAAAAAGGCTAATTTCTGTTGGAAATCAATGATATTTTAACCATTAAAAAGATTAAAAGCAGGTTAGTTAAACATATGCAAGGTTATTTCATGGGTACATCTTTTTATTTGAATTCACTGATTCTATGTTGCTTATTAAAGGAGCAATTTTTATGTGATCAAAATTACATTAAATATCATTTCCACATGGATATAGTGTATTTTAACATGTATAAAGATCATCAGTAGAGATTAAACAATGTCATTATCATTTTGTAGTTGTTTAAAAGTTACTGTAGGAACTATAAAGGTCAGCTTCACTCCCAAGGATCCAATTTTTAAACGTTCAGCTTTGAAAACTCAAAATAAAACTTTCCTTTTCAAAAACTGCTGTTAAAAAAAAAAAAAAAGTCAACATTTACCTTTGTTAAACAATAGGATTATGTCAGCTTTTTTTTTCCTTTTAGAAAGAAGGCTGATGAAGTTTGTAATAAAATAAAATACCGGATCAAATTAATCAATTACATCTTTAATAAACTTGTAAGTGGTAAGACGGTGACAATATAGCAATCAAAGAAATTATTAAAACTATTACATTTTTCCTTATTACTATTTTGGCTACACTAGATTCTTCCTGACTAAATTCTGACTTAATGAACTACAGCAGCCGCTTAAAGACAGTTTGAACTTAGTCAACACCAAGTTTGGGTCAGTTGTCATAGTAACCAAGTCAACTTTATGAAAAACATATACTAGACTCGGGCCACTACAAAGTTTGACCGTAACAAATTAATACTTGGTAGTGTAACTATATAGAAAATGAAAGGAGAGCTTTTTCCTTTAATTCATTCTTTACTCTGAATATCAGAGGGGCCTGTATGGAGTGAATTTTGTTCCATTATTGTTCCCTCTGATTTTCATGTGTCTGGGGAAATGCAGAAGCCCCTGAAGTTCACCAAGGACCACTGTGAACATCAGAGGTTAACACACCAATATAAACCGCATTATTAAACCCATGATCATAGTAAGCTACATGAGTTAAAGAACATTAAAGCAGCACTTTCCATTTGAAATTTCTATGTAAAAAAACGTGAACTTTGCAACTATAATAGAACAAAGCTTACCCCATAACTTGAGTTATTGAAAAGGAACAGGAGCAACAAAACTGGATTAAAAAGTTGAATCAGTTACATTGTCTGCATTTCCTTTAAATATTTGGAGCTTTTTTGTCTCAAACTAAAGGTGGTGAAAGCAAATGAAGAGCAGTATTACAAAGAAAAAAAAAACATAATATAAGTAGGTCTAATAATTTTGGGACTAGAAAAAATATATATAAAAAGCTCCAGTTTTTACTGATAAACTTCGAAAACCACAACGATCCTTCCATGAGCAGAAATGCCCAAAGTAGCAGCATCATAAACCCTGAAACCATGGTGTTTAAAGTGGACGAAGAGCAAACCTACCAGAGTTTCCTTCGTTCTCCACCATCCTGCTGTAACGGGACTCCAACCCTGCCTGGCAGACAGTCTGCAGGCCAAACCTGAGCCTGACGCAGGGCTGCAGCTCAGACATGGTGAACGTGAAGCTGTCATCCGTCAGCCACAGCTCCGCCTCCTCAGTGACATGGTCCGTACCGTTAAGGTAGAAGATGGTGAGGAAGAACGACGAGTACTTCAGGTTTTCAGGGCAGTCCCACGCCAACGATATGCTGCTGCTGTTCCATGACGTCACATCAAAATACTTCGGAACATCTGGGTCTACTCGGGGGGACAAAAATAATAAGATCATCTACTGTATGATTTCTACACAGAAATAAAGTCTAGGTGTTTATACCTGTAATAGTTGAGAGGCATGTGAAGGAGTGAGAGTTGGAAATCTCCACACAGACCATGTAGCTGTTGCATGGGTCTAAGGCGGTGAAGCGGTACTGGTTCTTAGTGGTGATGTCCTCCATGTAGGGATGATAGGATCCAATCTCATTGTGGAAAAGGGTCACATTGTGAGGACGGCGAACGGTTGGACTGTGCACCATCCAGGACACCAGTAACATGAAAGGACTCCTGGACTCCAGCTTGATGGGGAAACGAGTCGTGTGACCTCAGAAGAGAAACAAGTCATCCAAATATTCAATAGTTGAATTAGAATGGATGGAGGAAAATAAACTCATCCAGTTCAAAGCTAATGACATCCATCATCATTACGACCAAACAACATATTTGGAGGGAGATTTTATGTAAAATTGGAAAAGAAGACTTCAGAAACAGATCTGCATACAGCAAACCCTCAACATGCTGGTGGAGATTTTCAGTCATCCAGGTCATAGCTATTCTAGCAAAGTTAAAATCTTATACCACTTCCCTTCCAGGAAGCTTTCTCAATTCCAAATGTCTGAAGTGGCGTTGAGTTCCAGGCTTATAGAGTAGCCCAAACAAAAACCTTGTTATGTCTTAGAAAACAAGCAAATTAAACTGTAAAAACAGGTCCACCCCTTAGTAATGGGGAGTGGTTAAAATCGACCTTAACTACTCCCCATTACTAAGGGGTTGGACCCGTTTTTTTCCTGTTCAATTTGCATGTTTTCTAAGCCATAAGGCTTTTGTTTGGGCCACTCTATAGACTTAGACTCAATTTTATCCCTTCAGGGAAATTCTGATTCCAGTAGCTTATATTAGCGATGGATTCAGCAACACCGATGATTGGGTGCAGCGTCGAGCCCTTAGAGCAACACTGCATTGATGTGAATATATTTTCAGCAAAGTCATGTGACGGATACTGGAGTTGCTTTCAACTGACTAAACTGTGTTTAAAATCATGATGCATCTGCTAAAAAAAAAAAAAGTAATCTTTTGCAGTTTATCAAATTATGAAGAATTTTGGAGCAGCCTAAAAGCAATGGGAACGTTTCAGCCGTGGCGTTTTCATTTTAATTTTCTCGTGTCATACTTTTCCTCCCACTTATCACTCAACTAATCTAAAATAAAGTTAATTTCAAATTGACTTAGTTTATTTAATGTTTTTGCTGTACTTACGGTTTTAAAAAATATGCTTCTAGTCAACAAGCATCATTCACATTTTCACCTAACTTTTCCTGTTATAATATATTAACATTATTTATTGGCTGCATCTAAAAAATATCAAATATATTCTAAATTTAAACAGATATCAAATAATACTATATAACCTTCAATAATTTAAATTATATCATTGTACTCGGTGATCAAATCAATTCAGTTTAATCTCTAAAATAACCTGCCATGTCCAGCAGGTGTCAGTATTCTGTGAGACATAACAGTATCAATAGTTTGGCAATGGGTGGAAACGCTTCGAGATTCCTCATTAACCCATCACTAGCATATATAGAGTAAAAAGAGTTAAAGCAAGATGCCATTAAAGATAAAAATAAAATAGACAATAGAAAAAGAGTGTATTTAGCACAAAAGAGCATAAAAAAAGCCTTGAACTCAAATGCTACTCCAGACATTTTGAATAAAAAAAAAAATCCTACTGGATGTGAAGCGAAACATCTTCAAACTTGGAAAACAAAGTCATTTTTTTTTTTTTTTTTTTTTTTTTTTTTTTTTACTTTGTAGGAAAACCCTCAACATGACTTTTCCACTAGATATCATCGTATGGTCATTCGTTGTGTTGGTTATTTTACCCCATAAACTGCCAAGAAGATTCCTTAAAGCAGGTGAATAATTAAACCAAATGGAATTTAAATTATTTTAAATACTACAGTAAAGATACCATTAAATTACAAAAGGCACAATATTATGCCCCGATATTTAAAAATTATATTAATTATATTTTAGAAAAAAGCATTTAAAAATGAATAATTATGTATTTTATTGGGTCGCTGGATTGTGGCTCTGTAATTTTTGAGGTAAAAGGGTGAAAAGTTTGGGAACCTCTGTCTTAAAGCCTTCAACAATTACTGTTTTCTTCCTAATCTTCCTTTTTACTTCTTATCACCTTAAAAGGGGAAAAGAGAAATATCCAGTTGAGGCTGATTTGCAAGGCGACATATAAACTTGATTTTTAGGGAATTCTAGCTTCAGAGATGATGATTAATTAAATCCTAAAGCCAATCTCCCAAACCTGAAAAGTTCATCATACCAACAGCAAGGAAGAAGTTCTCCTCCTGGTGCAGAAACATTGCACCACTTTCACATGCAAACACCTCAGAGAGATCAAGCATCTCCAGAAGGCCCTGGAACAAAACAGTGGAGAAATTCTTAATATGGACATGTTTATTTGGAGCTAAAAGAAACAATTTCATATCAGCAATACCTTTGTTGCCTTTGTTGGCTTCTCCTCAGGTTTATGCCTGCCTTTGATTTTGATCACCTTCGTGCCTTAGGGTGAGATAGAAAAGGTCCTAACAGGGTCAAATAGGTTGATAAACATGCTCTGGTGCTCTGGTTCCTTACGTGGGCTGATTGTTATGGTCCATGTCTGGGTAAAGTCCCCAAACTGCAGAGCAACCTTGTTTTCTACAACCGGAGACACCGTCACAGAGGTCACCCGCCCCACCTTTACGATGGCATTCAAGGATGTGCCGTTGAGCTGCAAGTTTCCATACTCGCTGGGAAAAAAAAAACAAACAAAAAAAACACCAAACCAGTCTTTATATAAACAAATGCTTTCAACTCAAAACTGACATTTCAATGTTGAGTTTCTTTAAAACTAATGTTCTATGGATTGAATTTTCTTCCATTATTTTTGTTGTTAAAGATAAAAAAATGCAACCTGGAAAGAGAACTAAAAATAACTTTTTAATCAAAGTTTTCACAGTAAATTGCCATTTTCTGAGACTTTGTTAAAGCCCAATTATTATTATTATTTTTTTATCTATTCAAATTCTATTTTTTGTTATTATTTATTTATTTTTTTACAGATTTTATATTTTCCCCAATTTCTGGTTTCAGGATTGAGTTCTACAATCTCTTCCCTTCCATCTTGACCCGCACATTGATCAATAACAACGTCTCTAAGGTCCATATAGAGAAAAATGCATCTTCCATCCAGAGGAAAGCCCCATCCCAAAAAATAAAGAGAACGAGATCAAGAAAGTGTCATTTGAAAAGGAGGCAAACTGAAAAACAGAAATTTGAAGAAAAAAAAATTAAAATGTTAAATCCATTGCCAAAAAAAATAGTTAAAATACAAATTTAGATTAAAAAAGAAAATCTGAAAAACATTTTTAAAGAACAAATGTGATAAAAAAGAAAGTTACCTTTTTACAAAAATAGCTTCACTTTTGGATTTTTTTGTCAAATTTAAATGTACAAATGTGTTTTTTTTTTCTTCCATTTTTTTCTTTTAACAATAAGAAACAACATTAATGTCTTCGAAGTACAAAGAATTTAAGATGTTCTTGATATCTTTAATTGTCAAATGAATTTTCCAAGCACCATGATGTCAGGATAAAGCTTTAGTTTTTAACAAGGACTTAACTGACATTCATACGAAAAGGTTTGGGCACCCCTATTAATCTTAATTTAATTTCTAAATATTTGGGTGCTTGCAACAGCTATTTCAGTTTGTTTTACAATAACTGATTGACAGTAATATTTCAGTATTGAATTGAGGTTTATTGGACTAACAGAAAATGTGCAGTATTCATTAAGACAAAATTGACCGGTGCAAAATGATGGGCACCTCAGCAAAAATACAATATTTAGTAGATTCTCCTTTTGCAAAAACAACAGCATCTAGTCGCTTCTTGTAGCTTTTAATGAGTTCCTGGATCCTGTAAGAAGGGATTTTTGACCATTCTTTGCAAAACAAATCCAGTTCAGTTATGTGTTATGGTCGCCGAACATGGACAGCCTGCTTCAAATCATCCCACAGATGTTCAATGATATTCAGGCCTGGAGACTGGGATGGCCATTCCACAACATTGGAATTGTTCCTCTGCATGAAGGCCTGAGTAGATTTGGAGCGGCGTTTTGGATCATTGTCTTGCTTACATATCCATCCCCAGGGTACCTTCAACTTCGTAACTTTAACATTATTCATAAGAATCTGCCGATATTGACTGGAATCCATGCCACCCTCAACTTTAACAAGATTCCCAGTGCCAGCATTTGCGACGCAGCCCCACAGCATGATGGAACCTCCACCAACTTTTACAGTGGGTTTCATCAGTTCTCAGGACCTTATTCCAAAATAAAGCTGGCTTGTCCAAATGTGCTTCTGCATATCTCAAGCGATTCTGTTTGTGGCGTGCTCGCAGAAAAGGCTTCTGTGGCATAACTCTCCCATACAGCTTCTCCTGGTGCAGAGTGCGCCGAGTGGTTGAACGATGCACAGTGATATCTGCAGCAATGTAATGCTGCAGGTCTTTGGAGGTGGTCTCTGGATTGTTCTTGAGGATTCCCACCATTTGTCTACTTTCCCTTGAATATGTTTCTTGGCCTGCCACTTCTGGGCTTAACAAGAACTGTCCCTGTGGTCTTCCATTTCCTTATTGTTCCTCACAGTGGAAACTGACAGTTTAAATCTCAGACAACTTTTTGTATCCTTCCCCTGAACTAATATGTTAAGCAATCTTTGTTTTCAGATCATTTGAGAGTTGTTTCCAGGTGCCCATGATGAATCTTCAGAGGAGATTCAAACAGGAGAACAACTTGCAACTAGCCATCTTAAATACATTTTCTCATGATTGGATACACCTGGCTATGAAGTTCAAATCTTAATGAAGTTAAACCAATTTTGTGTTTCAGTAAGTCAGTGAAAAGTAGTTAAGGGTATTCAAATCAATAAAATGATACCCAAACTTTTGCACTCATCAAATTCTGTTTTAATTCATATTGCACATTTTCTGTTTGTCCAATAAACTTAATTATTACTGTGTCCATCAGTTAGATATATCAAACTGAAATAGCTGTTGCAAACACCCAACTATTTAGAAATAAAAATAAAATAGAGGTGCCCAAACTTTTTCATAGGACTATAACTGACTTCTGTTGAACATTTTAAAGTAGAGCTAAACAATGGAGTCGCTGCCCCCTAGGGGCGGCCCAGTGTACTTGCAGGTGAGGTGGTTAAACAAATGACCCATTCAGTGGAAACTAAAAAAAGCTGAATTGAACAATATGATAAAATAAATGATAATTTGTGTAAAATTATAAATTATCCCTTTAAAAACAGTGATTTAAATGAAAATATTAAAATGATGTTATTAAAGTGTAAAATGTATGTGTTTTGAGAGGCCCACTCACCTTAAACTAAATATAGTTTCAAAAGTTTCAAAATAAAACACCTCACATTAAGTAGTTAGCTGCAATATCTACAAATTCTGTATATTTTTTTCTATTAAATTTACATATTCTTGGTAAATTACTAAACAAAGAACATTTAAAAACTATACATTTGAGCACTGTTCTTATGGATCATCCCTGCCCTCTAATCCTGCCTAACTTCACAGAATGAGATCGTTTTAAACAACAAAAAGAACAAAAAAAGCCCAAATTGACTGGATTAGTCTGAAAAGATTCATTGAAGTGATTTTGTAAATCGTATTTCTGCTTGCATTTTGAAATCATGTCATTCATTTGTATCATTTGTAGATATTTCTACTTTGATAGTTTTTGAAAACTGAACCAAACTTCACCTGGGGTTTTTATGGAAAAGGATTAGGGCCACAAAAAAACCAAAAAAAAGTTAACAGATTTTTTAATTTTATTTTAGTTTAATATGGGAAAAGTCAGAATTCTGACCTTAATCTCAGAAGTCAGACTCTTCACCGGGTCCTCGATGATGCCATTTCATTAATGAAAGAGCAGAAGGTAAGGATTAAAACAAGAGAGCTACAGTTTAGTCTCTAAAACAGACGTGGCTACAGCTTGATGCTAAGTGCTAAGTTTATGCTATTCAATCAGAATTCTGACTTTTTTCCCATATTAAACTGAAATAAAATTTAAAAATCAGTTAAATATTTTTTTTTTTTCCTTCATTCTCAGTGGCCCTAATCCTTTTCCGTACGTAACAGTTTACAAAGGTGGATACATTTTCTCAGTTACATTTACAGTAAAAAAAAAAAAAAAAAAAAAAAAAGAAAGAAATATAATAATAATAATAATAATTAAAAAAATAGTTTTAGGAGAAGTTTTACTGTACTTTTAACTTTTACTTCAGATAAAAAAAAAAGTATATATAAGTCTTGAGTAAATTTCTGGCTGCTCCATCCATTGTGTGCAACTTGCATTAACGGAAACAAGCTTGTTTTAAACAAATATGCACTGTTTAGAGACACACTTTCTTTTCTTATACTTAAAGCTTAATGGTTAAGTGTTATTTATTTTCCATCTGCTGTGTCATTTGTAGGATAAGTGAAAATACATTAAACATTATACTTTTTTTTAAAAAATCATATTCTTACAAACTATAGATTTTAATAGATTTATTAACACACAGAGTGCTCATTCTACCTTAATTTTGCATTGTGTAGTTGTTGTATGTTATGTTTATTTGTTGCTCAATATTTGAAACACCAGAATTTGTAATTCACCTGTTTTGTTCTGTTTTACACCATTTTGTAAAATATTAAATCAGTTATCAAAAAAAAAAAAAAAAAAAAAAAAAGCACACACCATCAATAAAAAAAGACACCTACTGACCCATTCAAAGCGCCCGCTGTGTCTAGCCAACATATTGAGAAAAACATGTCGTAGCATCTCCCTGGTTTTAAACACATGAAAGAAAACATTCACAGAGTTAGCCAGTTAATTTCTACTGAACCAGAACCTGTAGGCACATACTCACCAAACGAATGAGGCACCAGTATAAAAAATAGAAAGGAGTATTCTAATGAGTTCCTAAAAACATTAAATATGTTAGATTAATAAGGTGGTGTGCAATTTAAACGCACTTAAAAAAAAAAATTGACTTACATTTTGTTTGTCTTCCAGTAAAGTACAGTGTGTTTACCAAACTGG